GGGGGGGCTGGGAGCCCGGACTCCTGGGTTCTCTCCCCGGCTCAGGGAGGGGAGTGGGAGCCCGGACTCCTGGGTTCTCTCCCCGGCTCAGGGAGGGGAGTGGGGTCTAGTGGTTAGAGCAGGGGGGGCTGGGAGCCCGGACTCCTGGGTTCTCTGGGGGGCAGGGCTCATTACGCGGCTGGGCTGCAGGAACTCGGCTTTCCGAGCAGACAGGAGCAGCAGCAGCGTAAGTTGCTTTTCTTCCGCCGGCTCCATGTGCGTCAGCAGCCCCCCCTTCCCCCCACACATCAGAGCGTCTGGCCCCCCCGCCTGCCAGCTCCGGCGCGGGGCTATCTATATCGCAGGGCTAAATATACTGCCTTGGCTGGCAGGAGCCGCCCGGCTCCCCTCTGCCCCCGCACATGGGGCTTGCCCCAGTACCCCACTGTGGCACCAGGGGGTGCTGTGCTGTGGGGCAGGGGGTGCTCTCCCCTGGCAGTCAGGGCCAGCACTAGGGTGCAGGGAGCTCGCCAGGGGCTGTTGGCCACAATGCAAGGGTTCCTGGCTGCATCCCAAGGGGTCTAGTGGTTAGAGCTGGGGGGGGGGGCAGGGAGCCAGGACTCCTGGGTTCTCTCCCCGGCTCTGGGAGGGGAGTGGGGGCTGGTGGTTAGAGCAGGGGGGGCTGGGAGCCAGGACTAACTCCTGCCATCTCCCAGCTGTGCTGACGGGGTGGGGTCTCCTGTTTCTGGAGGGTGGGGGCCAGGAAATCAGCACCACAAATGTCCAGTACCCCGCAGCCCCCCACAGCTGGGCTGGGAGGACCCTGGGCTGTGCCACGACTGGGACCCACCGCCCGTGGGCTGAGCGAGCGGCTGGCGCCGGCTGCGCCAGCAGCTGCCCGGGCTGGGAACCGTGTGTCTCACGTCTGCTGATTCCTCACGGGTGAGTTCTCACCCGCTCCCAGCTCCGTGCAGCTCCCGGCGCGGAGAGCAACCAGCTGTGCGGGGGGAGGGGCAGCTCTGCCAGGGCCCAAAGTGCCAACCCTCAGCCCTGCTGGTGCCCCTCACTCCCGCCCCACAGCCCCCCCCCCCCTTAGCGTCTGAATCTCTGTTCTCGGTGCTGGAGCTGACTTGGCGGGTCTCCCCCCAGCCCTGCTGGGTGCGTGCTCCTGCCCCCGTGGGTGGGGGGACGTGCCTGTCCCACCTTGGTTGGGGGGCTGCCGGATGGCTCTGTGCGGGGGCCGCTCCGTGCCTTGGCCTTGTCCTCACCTCTGCCCACCGCCAGCCGGGCTCGGGGCCTGTCCCCTCCAAGGGGCGCCAACCCCCCAGTTCTCACCCCCTCTCTCCCCAGCATGCGGAAGTGGGCGCGCCGGGAGGCCGAGCAGAAGGTGAAGGAGCGGGAGCGGTTGGGGCTGCCCATCATGGACTCCAACTACTTCGACCCCAGCAAGCTGGTGCTGCCGGACGAGGAGTGAGGGGGGCTGGGCCGGCGCCCCCTGGCCCCCCAGGGCCGTGTGAATAAACCTGCTAAGCCACCTCGCTCCGCCTCCGTCTGTCTGTCTGTGGGGCGGGGGAGCCAGGACTCCTGGGTTCCATCCCCAGCCTGGCGGCTGCAGGAGGCTCTGACCTGCGCGGGCTCAGGTGTGGTCCAAGTTCCCTGTTCCCTCTGCCTCGGGCGCAGCTGTGGGGCTGTTCCCCTGCCGCCCCGCCCCAGAGGTGGCTGCCTCTTGGCGCTGGGTGAGCCGGTCCCGGGAGCACCCTACGGGGGTGGCCGTGGCTGGGGTGAATGGCGCTTTGGAACCGGGCGTGAGGCCAAGGTAGGACCTACAGGAACCACCCAGCCGCCAGTCTGTGCCCCCATAGCCAGCCATGCACCTCTCCCCCACCATCCCCTCTCTCTGCCCCCCCCCATCCCCGCCCCACAGCTACCTGTCTCTATGCCCTCCGCCCGGTCTCTGTGACTCCTCCCCCTGGGTTGGCCAGTGAACATCACTCTCCCAATTTGGGAAACTGAGTCATGAAGAGTAGGTGAGAGTCAACTACACAAGCCACTAGACCCCACTCTCTTCCCAGAGCTGTGGAGAGAACCCAGGAGTCCTGGCTCCTAGCCACTAGACCCCACTCCCCTCCCAGAACTGTGGAGAGAACCCAGGAGTCCTGGCTCCTAGCCACTAGACCCCGGTCCCCTCCCAGAGCTGTGGAGAGAACCCAGGAGTCCTGGCTCCTAGCCACTAGACCCCGGTCCCCTCCCAGAACTGTGGCGAGAACCCAGGAGTCCTGGCTTCTCTGCTTGGCCTCTCAGGAGAGGTTCTGCCGTTTCTCTGAGATGCGGCTTCATGCGTCACCGCTGGCTCTGCCCTCGTTCAGTGCCGGCTGCCGCTGCCTGTTCACTGCACCAGAAATAGCATCTCAGCCCTGGGGCGAGCAGTCCTCCAGCGGAGTTAGAGGGGCTGTTCCCCACTTGCCCTGCCCCAGAGGTGGCTGCATGGCAGGGCCGGGCGCGCCACCCTGTGCAGCGGTGGGTGGCTGTTCCCAGCTGCTCCTCCCCAGAGGTGGCTGCATGTCGGGGCCGGGCGCGCCACCCCGTGCAGCGGTGGGTGGCTGTTCCCAGCTGCTCCGCCCCAGAGGTGGCTGCATGTCGGGGCCGGGCGCGCCACCCCTGTGCAGCGGTGGGTGGCTGTTCCCAGCTGCTCCGCCCCAGAGGTGGCTGCATGTCGGGGCCGGGCGCGCCACCTCGTGCAGCGGTGGGTGGCTGTTCCCAGCTGCTCCGCCCCAGAGCTGGCTGGGGCCCAGAACCACCTCCAGTCTGCCCAGCCCTGGTGGCTGCGGGGTTGGGGGTGAGGTCTAAGCTGTGGCCAGGGCCGGGCCATAGGGGAATTGGTGCTGGGGAGGGAGGTGCCTGTTAATCCCATGGGGGCTGGGGGACAGGCCCCCCATGGGGGATTCCAGGCACCCTGCACCAGGCACAGTGGAGTCACCTGGGACCCTGATCCAGGAAAGCACAGCGGTGGGGGGAGCCCGGGGCTGGGGGTTGCGGCTGAGGGGCACCGGCCGAGCTGTGGGCCGGGAGTGAGGGGCACCGGCAGAGCTGGGGGGCTGCGGGTCGGGAGTGGGGGGGGGGTCCATGACAGACTCTCCAGTCCGCAGCGAGACGTTTCCTTCTCCCGGCGTCTGCGGCAGATGCTGAAATATTCATGGGGAACCGAACCCCCTGGGGGGCGACTGGGCCTCATCATGGCAGCCCTCCCCCAACCTCCCCCCCCACTCCTGACCCACAGACCCCCATAGCCCCACCCTGGGCTCCCCAGCCCTGCCAGTGCCCCCCACTCCAGCCCCCCATAGCCCTGCCCTGGTGTCCCAGAGCTCTGACAGTTCCCCCCACTTCCAACCACAGCCCCCCATAACCCAGCTGTGGGCTCCCCCCAGCTCTGCCAGTGCCCCCCCATCCCAACTGCAACCCCCCATAACCCAGCCCTGGTGTCCCCCCATTCCCAACCCACAGACCCCCATAGCCCAGCCCTGTGTCCCCCCATCCCCAACCCACAGACCCCCATAGCCCAGCCCTGTGTCCCCCCATCCCCAACCCACAGACCCCCATAACCCAGCCCTGGTGTCCCCCCATTCCCAACCCACAGACCCTCATAACCCAGCCTTCGTGTCCCCCAGTTCTGTCACGTGCCCCCCCCCTCCCGACCGCAGCCCCCCATAGCCCCGCCCTGGGCTCCCCCCAGCTCTGCCGGTGCCCCTCACTCCTTACCCATAGCTCCCCCCTGGGCTCCCCAGCTCTGCCGGTGCCCCTCACTCCTTACCCACAGCCCCCCCCATAGCCCCACCCTGGGCTCCCCAGCTCTGCCGGTGCCCCCCACTCCCGCCCCACAGCCCCCTGATCACCCAGCCGTGGGCTCCCAGCCCCCCTCCCCCCGCGCTGTAACCACGAGAGCCCCCTCCCCTCCCATATCAGGGGAGCGAACCCCGGCGTCCTGCCCCCGCCCTCCTGTTGCCGACCTATTTCTCTCGCTCTCCCGTGCGCTGCGCTCCGCCCCGCGCGGCTGCGGGCTGCGCTCAGAGTCCCCGGCGGCTCCGGGCAGGCAGGAGACGGAGCCGGGCTCCGGACATGGCCCCCAGCGCCCGCGGGCGGCGGTGACTGGACCCGGACCCAGCCCCAGGTAAGCCGCGGGGAGGGGAGCCGAGCCAGGACTCCTGGGTTCTCTCCCCGGCTCCGCGAGGGGAGTGGGGGCTAGTGCTGAGAGCGGGCAGGGGGGCTGGGAGCCAGGACTCCTGGGTTCTCTCCCCGGCTCTGGGAGGGGAGTGGGGGTCTAGTGGTTAGAGCACGGGGGCTGGGAGTCAGGACTCCTGGGTTCTCTCCCTGGCTCTGGGATGGGAGTGGGGTCTGGTAATTAGAGCAGGGGGGGCTGGGAGCCAGGACTCCTGGGTTCTCTCCCCGGCTCTGGGAGGGGAGTGGGGTCTGGTGATTAGAGTGGGGGGAGGGGCTGGGAGCCAGGACTCCTGGGTTCTTTTCCTGGCAGGGAGGGGAGTGGGGTCTGGTGGTTAGAGCGGGGGCGGGGGGTGGCTGGGAGCCAGGACTCCTGGGCTCTCTCCCCGGCTCCGGGACGGGAGCAGGGTCTCGTGGTTACTGGGGGGGCAGGTTGCAGTTGTCTCTGGGGGGTGGGAGCTCTAGGCACATTTTGCTTGTAAGGGAACCAGCGGGTGAAGTTTGGCAAAGTTAGAAGGAGCTGAAGCTTGGCCCCCTGCGAAGGGGGTCTGGGCTGAGGGGAGCAGGGTAGGGGGCTCCCGCTCTCCCCCGGCACTCAGGACCGGGCACTGGGGGGCACCGGGCTGAGGGGAGCAAGGTAGGGGGCTCCCTCTCTCCCCCAGCACTCAGGACCGGGCACTGGGGGGCACCGGGCTGCGGGGAGCAGGGTAGGGGGCTCCCTCTCTCCCCCAGCACTCAGGACCGGGCACTGGGGGGCACCGGGCTGAGGGGAGCAGGGTGAGGTCTGGGCAGAAGCCAGGCGCTGGGGAGCTCCATACTGTGGGGAGCAGGATGAGGGGCTGGGCAGGGGGGCGTTCGGGACCAGGCGCTGTGGGGGCACTGTGCTGTGTGGAGCAGGGTGGGGAGCAGCGTGGGGGGTTGGGCAGGGGGCCCTCTCCCCTGGCCGGTCAGGACCAGGTGCTGTGGGGGCACCGTGGGGCAGGGAGCAGGGTGAGGGGCTGGGCAGAGGGCGCTCTCTCCTGGCAGTCAAGGCTGGGCTCTGGGGGGCGCTGTGCTGCGGGGGGCTGGGTGGGGGGCTGGGCAGGGCGTGCTCTCCCCTGGCCGGTCAGGGCCGGGTGGTGCTGGTGGGGGGGTCCCTGATTTACTCACTGACCCAAGCGGCTCTCACTTGCCAACCGCTGCTCTGAGCATTTTCAGTTCTCAGCCTCTCCCCCGACCCCTTTGCCCTGCTCTGTGTGTGTGTGTGTGTGTGTGTTTGCCTGAGTGTGTAGGTGCCCTCAGCGGCCAGGCCCTGCTCTGTGTTGGGGTGCGCAGCTGTAGTGTGGTGTTTGTGTTTGCGATGATGTGTTGTGTGTGGCTTTGCGCCTGTGCACTTGCACTATGTGGCCCAGCTGCGTTGTGTGTCTGTTCCGTGTGTATGGTTGCAGTGTTGTGTCTGAGCGTTGGGTGCAGTTGTGGTGTTTGTGTGATTACAGTGTGGGGCATGTTCTGTGTTTCACAGGTAGTGTTGGGTGGTGTGGGATTTTTCACGTTGGCTGTATGTCTGTGCATGGATGGGTTCTGTTGTGTGTATTGCAGTGTGTGTGCACGGCTATGTTGTGTGTGTCACAGTGTGTGTCGCAGCATGTGTGTGTGGTTGTAATGTGTGTGTCACAGTATGTGGACATGGTTGTCTTCCCATGGTGCATATCTCGCAGCGTGTGTGTGCAGTTGTCTTGTGTGCATTGACGTGTGTGTGCAGTTGTGGTGCATGTGTGCGGTTATGGTGTGTGTGTGTGAGGTTGTGGGGTGTGTGTCAGTGGGTGTGCATGGCTGTATGGTGTGCGTGTGTGTGCGCGGTTGTGTGGTGTGCATGGGAGTGTGTATGGTTGGGTCCATGTGTGCGGTTGTGCTGTGTGTGTGTCAGTGGGTGTGTGGTGTGCATGGGATGTGTGCACAGTTGTGTGGTGTGCATGGTGCATGTGTGCAATTGTGGTGTATGTGTGTGGTTATGGTGCATGTGCTGCAGTATGTGTGTGCAATTCTGATGTATGGTTGTGGTGTGTGTGGTTGTGTGTGTGGTTGTGGGGTGTATGTGGCATATGTGTGTGGCCGTGGGGTGGGCGTGCTGCATATCTGCTGTTGTGTGGTGTGTGTCAGTATGTGTGCAATTGTGGGGTGTGTGTCGCAGTGTGTGCAGTTGTGGATGTGTGTGGGGTCTGTGTTGCAGTGCGTGTGTATGTGGGGGGTGTCACAGTGTGTGCGGTTGTGGGGGGGGGGTGCAGTTGTAGGATGTGTGAGGAGTTGTGCGGTGCGTGTGTCGCAGTGTGTGCGCGGTTGTGTGGTGTGTGTATCGCCGTGTGTGTTTAGTTGTGTTGTGTGTGTGTCGCAATGTGTGTGCTTGTGTGGTGTGTGTGTCACAGTGTGGGCGTGGTTGTGGGGCATGTGTCACAATGTGTATGCGGTTGTGCGGTGCGTGTGTTGCAATATGTGTGTGGTTGTGCGGTGTGTGTGTCACAGGGTGTGTGCGGTTGTGCGGTGCGTGTGCGCAGTTGTGTGGTGTGTGTGTGTGTGTGCAGTTGTGGGGTATATGTGTTAGTATGTGTGCGGCTGTGTGGTGTGTGTGTCACAGTGTGCGCGTGGTTGTGTGGTGCGTGTGCGTGCGGCTGTGCGGTGTGTGTCGCAGTCTGTGTGTCGATGTGTGGTGCGTATGTCGGTACCTGTCTGGGTTGCGGTTGTTGGTGCCCCTCCCCCTGCCAGGTTACACCAGGTTCCCGCTCCTGTTGCCTTCAAGCTGCTGTAGCTGGGTTGCCATGGCAACAGCGGGGGGTTCTCGGGGTTACCGTGGCGATAGGAGGGTTCTGGGACCATCTGGCCGGTTGTCACCACTCAGCACCCGGGGCGGGCGGGTCCCTGCCCCCCCCCAGCCCTGCCCTACCCCCCCCAGCCCTGCCGGTGCCCCTCACTCCCGACCCGCAGCCCCCTGCCCGCCCCCCCCCGGGTCCCACCCTTTG